TTCGCTTGTACATGAGTTGAATCCCTTTCTCCATCTTCAAGTCTGTGGGCTCAATCAGAACCGTTTTAACCGTTGTGGTCTTTGTTAGTAGCGGGTTTCCCTGAGTAACTTCTGTGTTTGTGTACAGGTTTTCGTCCCATCTTATTTTAGAAACTTCTGTCCAGCTCACATAACTGTCTTTGTTTTCGAGGGAGCTACAGATCAGCTCCTTTCGATTGTTAGGTCATGCGTTTGTCTGAATTCCAATTTCAGCTGTTTTAGCTACAACACTTTTGCTTGTAGGGCATATTTCTCCTGCCCTTGCCTGACTTTTGGTTTCTATATCGCTGTGCACTTTTTGCTGCTCTTCAAGCCTGTGGTTTACCAGCCAGTCTCTCATGTGGCTACGGTTTAGAGCCTCTACCTGCTTCTCTAATTTGCCAGCAATGTCCTTGATCTCGCGTTTTGTATTTTGTTCTACCTGCCCTCTTAGGCCCGTGCTCAATTTACCGATGTTTTCTATCGCTTTAATAAGAATGTCCATTTCCGGGCTTTCGTTTTTGGTATCGGTGGCCAGTTCGCATGATGGATTACCAAAAGATGTGTCAAGCACTTTTCTCTTCTTGTTTTCAAGATACGATGTAAGGGAGTTGCTCCTATGTTGTTTTGACTTGACGTCTTCTCTTGCACCAATACTACTGCCCTTGGGCGGAGGCCTTGGCAGGCTATCTCGTCTTTTGAACGGATCCTGATTACTCAGCGGAGTTCTGCCCCCCCAGAATCCGTGGGGCAGCCTACTTGCGTAGGGAGGGGTTCCCGGCACTCGACCGTCCGTATAATACCCCTCCTGGGGTATTATATTTTGAATTTCCGACATTTCATACGAGTTTATTTTGGTTTTTTATTGAGTTCCCTAACTCTAGACGGGTTGCCTTCACCATGGCTGTGAGCCCCGTCCACCCATGGAGTACCGCCAAACCCTGAGGAACCGTCGTGTCCATGTGCTAGTTTTGGCCCGCCCCGGCTATTTGATTTCACCGGCACCACCCATATCTGGGAGGCGTTTCCCTATCCGCCACCTGGGGAGGCGGCCGGTATGGGACTAGCAACCCACTCGGGCAGCCCAGAGCCCTTTTTTTTTTAATTTTTTTTTTCATGAGGAGGGAATGCTTTTACGCACGACCCCTGTCTACAGGGAGTGTTGGACTCGGCCCTAGCCCCTACCAACTAAACCCTCCTCCTATCAACCTGGAACCGCCCCTACGAGCATTGCATCAGGTTTTTTTTTTCTCTTTTCTTTTTACGTCATTTGTTTTTCTTTTTCTTCCTTCAATCTCATTATCTTTGTGAGCATTTCGCTGATTAATTTCCAATGTTCCTCTGATTTCATCAATAGGCCTYCAATCGACGCTTTGTTAATCTCCTCCCCGCACTTAGCCTGAGCCTCGGATCGTATCTCCTCAAATTCGATACAGTGAAAAATCGTGTGTTCCGGACTATCGATACAGTTTAGAGCCGAATTCCAGATTGGCGCTGCGTATAGCATTGCTGACATAGCAGCGCTAGCCAGAATTTTTCTCTTTAGGCAGCTAGGCCCTCCTATTCTTGGCATTACTTTTAGTAGTCGATTTGTTGTTTCAGACACTTTTGCGCAAGTTTTTTTAATGTGCTCCGTCATGGACAGGTCTTTATTTAGGTAAA